GAGACTATGGATGGTGAGGATGAATGTAATAAACGGATCTACAAACATTACATTGGTGACCTACAGTGAGATGGTAACAGGCATGCGCTTAGTGCCCGCTTTCCAGACAGTTTCTGTGGGGTGACGCATTCTGAGGTGAGGCAGATCTCATCTGTGCCTCACCTTACCCCACAGTAAATGGCTTGAGCTCGGTCACAAAATAAGTGGCCGCGCTAAATTAGTGCCCGCGCTCCAGCAAGTTACTGTGGGCTTACGTGAGGCAGAGCTCGTCCCTGCCTAACTTCTCATCGCTCCCGTAGCGGATCTCGGCAAATTTGCTGATTTTCACTATAAAAAGCGATTGGAATCATACAGAAATCACATTTACACAAGATCAGTGAGGCTCTGCCTCCCCTGCCTCCACTGACTGGACCTAACACATTTAGCTATGGCACTGTCGTATACATTGAATTATTCAATTTGATGATATGTAATCAACTTGGGAATCCCTCCCAAAAAAAATTTAAAAAATTAATAAAAATATTCGTAACTCATATTCGAAAACCTGAATAATTATTCGAATACCTGAATAATTTCGAATATTCGATTAATCGTTCCCATCCCATATGCCAGGCCAGTAGATGGTGCTGTTCTCACAGAATCTGCCCTTGCAAAAACAGAGCTAGAAATGGTCAAATTGAGCAAAATGAGGCATGGCTAAAATGCATGATCTGTTTGGTATTTTGAAAAAAAAAGAAGTATAAATATGCCTTATATAGGTATGGTCCTACACTATATTATTCAAATATAGCATGAAAGGTCCACTTTAAGTTATAAGTTAGCAAAATATAGCTAAATTAGGCTTGATACATTAATATGCTTTAAGAAAAAAACAGCCTACATCCCAGCTCTCTATCGGGTTTCATTTATCTTGTTGGCAGCTCATCCCTTAAAAACAGAAGTCTCAGAGTGATTATAATAACATGAAATATGAAGGGTCTATTTCAAGCTTGTTATGTAAATAAGTTATTAGGCTTTTTTTCATCAACTAAGATTTGATAGAACATTTTATCAACATGAATTGACTGAATTTGTTTTAAAAGTGATCTTATTAACACATGAATACTAGTGTGTAATATGGTTGTACACAGTGGCGTTTTTATATGTACAAAAGTGGTGGGGCACAAAAAACGTAGATGTCTATATATAAGCTTCTGCAGTGACGTGCAGTGAGGTTCATGGCTGGTGAGGCACTGGCACTGACTCTTCAGGTTTACAAATATTATATTTTGACCTAAATCAAAATATAATATTATTTTCAAAAGCTTTTTTTGTCTGATGCTTCGATTAATTTTAAACAGACAGTTCAACAAAAGGATACCCAAAAAATGTCATTTTATCATTTAAATATTGAATTGTTCTCTCTTAGTAAGATCCCATTTTCAATAAAATGGCGGTCTTACCTTGACTTGAAGATGAAGTCCATTTGCCTATCCTTCTGGACAAACATTTCTATTACTTTTTTGTAAAAGTCCTCCTTATGTTCTTGTAGTTTCAAAAGTCTATCATAAATCTAATCCATAGATTTATGATAAAAAATTATATAAGTAGGGTAGACATGTGGATGTTATCCGGCTAATCAAAACGTGCATTCATCTAACAGGTACGTTTCCCACAGATCTTATTTCGAGCTATTTTCTAAAATCCTCTGGAGAAATCTCATTGCTTTTTTGTGCTTACTTCCTGGTTTTAGGACGCGCCACTGCAGCTCTCTCGTCTCCTCTTCACACAGCACACTTTTCGCGGCACACGTACTTACAGCCAATCAGCTCTGAATGATTTGAGATGACGTATGGTGGGGATGGTAGCTCCATGCCCCTCTGGTCATTATTTTTTTGCCACACACATTTCATTACAAAATACTCTGAGCATGCGCAGTGAAGTTTTTACAGTCACCGTTGACTTCACAGCGAGAGGAAGGGGCATAATCAGGTTTTGTCCCACATGGCTCTAAACAGCTCAATAGGCACACACTGTGACTGTAGACACACTAATTAGAAGAACACAGACTAAAACAGCAATGTACAGACGAATCAGATGATTAAACATGATCTTAAAATATATTTTATATATTTTTTTATTTATTTTTTTGCATTTTTGTAATCATTATTTGTAATACTTTCTGCTGACACTAGGTGGGGCTGTGCCCCACCTGCCCCTAATGACCAGTCGCCACTGGTTGTACATATATATTTAAGAAGTACAATATGAGAAAAGCACGTTTCATTTGTGGGCCATATTTCATTATACTTTTTGAATTAGCTGAGGGCCGGCCCCCGGGCCGTAGTTTGGACACCCCTGGTTTAAAGTGTTAATTAAGAGTAAAGGGAACAGACCTGCTCTGTGTATCCGAAGCTGAGGCTGTAAAACAGCGTCCAGTAGTTTCTGGAGTCTCTTGTTCTCCTCTTTTGAACGAGACAGCTCCTCCTCGAGCTCTGCAATCGTTTTTTCAAACAGAGCAAATATCTCTTGAGCAGCAGCAGTGAGTCGCTGCTTCTTCAACGACAGCAGCATTTGGACTTTACTCATGTTTCCTAGATCACCTTTTCCTGCAAACTCCGTTAAACACACTGTTTCTTTCTCTCCATCAAACTCTCAATCTGACTAGTGTTGCCAACGTGTTTCCAGCTAGCATGCTAAGCTAGCTTGTATAGTCCGAGGTAAACACTCCAGAAAAAAGAGCACACAGTCCATTCGGAGGTTTATCCAAACACACAGATGATGGATCAGTAGTGCTGGAGCTCACAAACGCTTTCTCTGGAACACAGAGAGAGAGAACCGTAGCGACGAGACGCCACCTGGACCCAGTGTGACTACCCGATCTGAATCCCTGCCCGATTTGCAATGCGCATGTGCGAGATGGTCCGCCATATTGGACAACTACATACGGCACCCCAAATAGATTGATTGAATTGATTGAAAAGTTTATTAACAGCTTGTATATTGGGTACAGTACAGTACAGCTCAAAACATACAATTGTTAAGGGGATGCAGACCAGAGAAAGACTTTCGTCTTGTTTACATCAGGGTCCCCCATTTCCAATTCATCATATCATTTAAGACATATAAGACATATTTGACATACAGATGGCTTATTTACAATTTACATACAGGTGGTTTTTTACATACAGATGGCTTATTTACAATTTTCATTTTAGATTTCGTTCTAATACATCCTAACCGGACATTTAAGACATACCAAGTCTACAGATATACAGTTAGTAACAGAGTCTAAAATGCGAGTATATACATAAATGGGGGGGGGAAGCTGTCCATTGTACGACAGGTTGAGATTTGTACCATTACCGGGGCCAGTTTTGCAATGCTTTCCCCCGAAGGTGCTCTTTAAGAGAGGTTTTGAAGGTAAGTATAGTTTTACTTTCCTTTACAGTTGTGGGAAGAGCGTTCCACCTTGATGTGGCATAATTGCGAAACGTGTATTCCCCTTTTTTTGTGCCAAATCTGGGTTTTACATGATTTGTGGAGCTCCCTCTGGTGTTATGATCATGGTATTCCTTGACCTTTGGGAAGAATTTTGACATGTACATGGGTACCATAGAGGTGTAGTGGATCTTGTAGACCAGGCCCATTGCAAGTAGCTGTACTCTGTCGTCTACTCTAAGCCATCCTAGGTTGTCAAAGTGGGCAGAGGTGAGGTGGGTTCTAGATGAAAGGTCAAGCAGTAGTCTGACCAGTTTATTTTGCGATGTTTGAAGTTTTATTTTTAGCGCCTTGGAGGTGCTATGGTACCATGACGTGCAAGCATAGTCATAGTACCCTTGAATGAGTGCTCCTGCCAGAGTTTTCAGGGTGTTTTTGTTTACCAGAGAGGAGATCCGGTATAGGAATCTAGTTCTTTGATTGACTTTTTTTATTACATTGGATGCCATTTTGTCACAGGAGAGGTTTGCCTCAAGAATAGATCCTAGGTATGTAATTTCCTTCTTACTTGTGACAATAATGTCACCCACTGCAACTGAGAAGTCGTCGGATTTGCTGAGATTATGTTTCGAACCGAAGAGAATGGACTCTGTTTTACCCAGGTGTAATGATAATTTATTATCGGCGAGCCAGGTGCAGATTCTGCCGAGCTCGGAGCTGAGGGTTTTTTCAACCTGCAATCTGCTCCTGTCAGAGACCAGCAGGGCTGAGTCGTCCGCGAACAGGAACAAGTTGCAGTCACATGCTGATGACATGTCATTTGCATAAATTAGGAACAGTAACGGACCTAATATGCTTCCTTGTGGAACACCACAGCTCACTGGGAGGGGGGGGGACAGAGTACCGTTTACCTCCACCATCTGTTCTCTCCCCTCCAGGTAGGATTGCATCCAGCTCACCGATAGTTTATCAAAACCAATTGCTTTTAGGACATTTGACATAGTGGCGTTTGGCAAAGCAGAAAAGAGAAACACAAAAAAAGATAATATTAATCTGAACGAGAGAGATGAATTATTGTTATTACAACGTGACTTCACTATTATTTAACAACTCCTTTAATTGGGTTAAGTACATTGTCAGAATAAGTGAGAAATGGATTTAACTTCTGTTAGACAGCTATCATACTGAATACATATTGTGAATGTATGCAAAAATGTATGGCATTCATAATTTATAACTAATTACATTAACTGTGAATGTCTTTCATTTTATTTCTAATTAAATAAAATTACATAAAACATTTTCCATAAAAAAGTTGATTCAAGAACAAATCTCTGTTATTAGATCAGTACTTTTCTTATATGACTATTATTGCTACATTAGAAAGATCGTTACCAGCTTTGGAATTATTAATATATATATAGCAATGCAAATCGGGCAACCGTTTAAGTTTAAAACTCGCGCATGCGCAGTGCATACTCCGTGGAGTGACACTCGCAGCGCAACGAGGCTCCCCCAAAAGACATACATTTATCACATGAAATGATAGCGAATCCCGTGTGAAACATCAAATGGTTGTTCTACTCAGTGTGATTGACAGGAGAGATGATCAGAGGGGTAGAGTTTTTACCACCATCGTTAGGACAAGGACTAAAGTATGGGTAGAGTTTCTCTTTGAAGCAGCAGCCAGTGAAGGAGTAGATCAGAGCTGCAGCATCAACATCATAAAAGGAGACCAGACCCTCCTCATAATCCACAAACACCCCCACCTTCTCATTTTCATTTTTCATTTAATTTCATTCTTTATTTCGAACAGATTAAAACAATAACAAATAACAAATGTGAAAAACAGAATACCGTATTGTTAAAATACAGTATTTATCCACATTCACGATAATATTTATAAAAACAACAAAAAAAAGTCTTCATATTAATAATAATAATAACAATTTTTTCAAAAATCATATGTGTCCGAAAGGGAGTAGGAGGAAGCAAATGCTTATTAATTCCCACCCCTTACTTGATCAATGATTTTCCTTTAAGTCATTATGCAAGTTATTCCTACTTACATTTACATTTATACATACATATACAATAATTTCTCATCTTCAATCACCTCTCTTCATTCTCATAGTTTTCCAAAAAAGTGTTTCTGTACATCCTTTTCAACTGAATTATGCTTGTGCTTTGTTTTATCTCCTGCTCCAAACCATTCCATAAAATCACCCCACAGATTGTTATACTCATACTTCTCAGAGTTGTTCTGACCTTGAGTTGTTTAAAATGTAGATTTCCTCTCAAATGATACCCACCCTCTCGGTCTATGAACAATGTTTTTAATTTCCTAGGAAGTAGATTATGTCTTGCTCTGTACATGATTTGTGCCGTTTTAAATTTAACCAGATCAGTGAACTTCAATATGTGTGACTTCAAAAATAATACATTAGTGTGTTCAAGATATCCAACATTATTGATAACTCTTATAGCCCTTTTTTGTAATGTGCATAACGGCTGTAGGTTGGTTTTGTACGTGTTTCCCCAAATCTCCACACAGTAAATCAGATATGGCAATATTAGTGTGTTATACAGAGTATACAATGAGTTGTAGTCCAGAATGTGTCTGGCTTTTCCCAATATTGCGATAGTCTTAGCCAGTTTTGCTTTTACATGAGTGATATGAGGTTTCCAGCTGATTTTGTGGTCTAAAACCACACCAAGGAACTTAATTTCATATACTCTTTCTATGTTTATGTTATCTAGTATTAATTGCACCTGTGGATTTGTTTTATGTTTTCCAAATAACATAATCTTTGTTTTGCTTATATTTAATGATAATTTGTTTGTGTCAAACCAATGTTTTACTTTAATCATTTCTGCTGTTATCACTTCCATTAGCTCTTTCAAATTGTCACCGGAACAAAAAATATTAGTGTCATCTGCAAATAAAATAAATTTCAATATATTTGATACTCTGCAAATGTCGTTGATGTATATTATGAACAGCTTTGGACCCAACACGGACCCCTGAGGTACTCCACAAGTTATGTTCATGTTTTCTGATTTATGTTCACCAATTTCAACAAATTGTTGTCTGTTGCTTAAATAATCTCTCACCCAGTCTAATCCCACCCCTCTGATGCCATACCGTTCCAGTTTTGTCAGTAAAATATTGTGATCTATGGTGTCAAATGCTTTTTGTAAGTCTATAAATATTCCCACTGCTTCTTTTTTATTGTCAATGCAGTTTGCTATTTCCTCACTTAATTCCATTAGTGCCATAGATGTTGATCTATCTTTCCTGAATCCATATTGACTGTCGTCCAAAAGCTGATGTGTTTCCATGAAATTGTCAAGGCTTTTTGTAAAAAGCTTTTCAAGGATCTTGGAAAACTGAGAGAGCAATGAAACAGGTCTGTAATTTGTGTAATGGTGTTTATCCCCAGTTTTATATAATGGTATAACTTTTGCTATTTTCATTTTATTTGGGAATTTACCAGATTGAAAAGACAAGTTAAAGAGATGAGTCAATGGTTCTGCAATTTCTTCAATAATGTCTTTTACTATAATCATATCAATATTATTCCAATCGGTCGAGGATTTGCTTTTACATTTTCGCACAGTATCTATGATTTATTTTTCTTCGACTGGTGTGAGGAAGAAAGAGCTATTATTTTCATTCCAGAGGTCCGTATCTTCCCCTTTAGTTGTTTCTACGGTTTTAATTTTTTCTGGCCCCACATTTACAAATAATTCATTAAAACCATTAACCACATCATCTGTATTATTAATAACATTATTTTTGTCCACAAAAAACTCAGGGTAACCTGAACTTTTTGCTCCATTTCTAATGACACTATTTAATACTTTCCATAAACCTTTCATATTATTCTTATTATTCTCTAATATTTTATTATAGTATTCTTTTTTACATATCCGTAGAATATGGGTTAATTTATTCTTATATCTTTTATATTTATTTTCTGCTTCTGAAGTTCTATCTTTTATGAATTGTCTATATAGTGTATTTTTCTTTTTGCAGGCATTTTTTAGGCCATTAGTGATCCATGCACTGTGAGTTTGTTTGTGTCTCTCTCTGCATTGCTTCACAGGACAGTTTTTGTCATAAAGTGATTTAAAAATGTTTAGAAAATCATCATAGGCCTTGTCAATATCGTCTCTCTCATATACTACCCTCCAATTCTGATTTAGTAAGTCATTTTTAAATGCAATTATGTTATCTTCAGTTCTCAATCTTTTGTATTTGAAATGGCTGGCGACTTTAGGTTTCTTAGAACTGCAGTGATAGACAATAAAAAACAGGTAAATGATCACTGATGTCACTATATAAAAGTCCGCCTACTGTATTGTTTTCCATAATGTTTGTGAATATGTTGTCTATTAATGTAGCAGAATGAGAAGTGATTCTACAAGGTCTGGTAATTTTAGGATACAAACCCATACTGTACAATGTATTGATGAAGTGTTCTGTCATTTTATGCTTATTTGGATTCAACAGGTCAATATTGTAATCCCCACAGATAAACATAATTTTTTGTAATGATTTAGTAAACATGTTTTCTACCCTATCTGTAAATGTGTCAATACAGGTTCCAGGAGCTCTGTATATACAACTCACAATAACATTTTTAGACTTTTCCATACAAATTTCTACTGTAACACATTCAAACAAATCGTCAACAGCTGTTGTCATGCTCTCCGCCACCTTATAGTTCATTCCTTTATCCACATAGATTGCCACACCCCCTCCACTCTTATTCCTTCTGTTTGTATAATTCAGTTCGTAGCCATCCATCTCAAAGTCCACACCTTTCTCAGCACTGATCCAGGTCTCTGATATTGCTATGATGTTGAATGGGTTCTTAAACTGACTTAGATATTCTTTAATGTTGAGGAAGTTGGCATATAGGCTTCTGCTATTGAAGTGGATAATTGATATGTTCTCTTCTGATTGACACGTTACATTGAATTGCTCTTCTGTGAAATAGTTGCAGCTGTTGTTGATATTGTTCAGTAAGTTGTTTTCCGGATCAATGTCATTTTCCATGTCCTGTGCTTTATGCTCTGTATATGCAAAAGTTTCTAGTCTTGATGGAGATATGTGTATATTAACTGGAATTGTCATGGTAGTGTTTTTTTTTTCGTTACCTTGTCTGATTTGCTTCATTGGTATTTTTCCAGTTCCTCCAGGTCCCTGATGATTAACACTTTGGCTTGTTCTGGTGATCCGTTAAGCTTGATGAAGATTCTGCAGTTTGCAAACTTTGTCTCAGGAAGAGACTTCAGAGAGAGACAGACTGCAGGACCAGCACCCGCTTGGTACTCATTTTCATTCCTCAACACTATCATCCAGTAACCTTTCTGAGGAGACGCTGTGATGTTTTCCTTCCTGTTGATCGACTCTCTGGCCACTCCTAAATACCACTGAGTCTTTCCTTTAACCTGAACCTCATAATAAAATCTTCCTGAAGAGAAACTCTGCTTTGCTAAAACACAAGGACAAAAATCAAATCTCTCAGGATTGCCTGGGAGATTCTTCTTCACATCACCATCTTTCACTTGTTTTCCATCATCAGACAGGATGAGATTGGGATGTGCTGTATGAGGATCAAGAGTCACCTCCACCCAGTGGCGAGCCGTGAGCTTTATACCTAGGCCCTCTGAAAAAAAGAAAAAAAAATAGTTATTACGTCACAGCGTATACTTCAGCGGAATATCAAAACAACGGCCCAGGGTGCAAAACGCATCAATGACAGCGACCCTCTACCACACAAAACAACACCTGTGAACCCAATTTGTGTTCTTTGACATTGAAAATGATATTGCATTGTGTTTCTTACTTTCGTTGCAGTTGTATGTCTTAAAGGGCCCATGTCATGGCCATTTCCACTGATCATAATTACATTGTTGAGGTATACTAAAATAGATTTATACTGTGCAATTTTCCAAACTCACATTGGTTTCGCATACAGCATCTCTGTCAAGCATGTGTATTCAGCAGTATTCACTTTCTCCAATAAACGACTCGTTGGAGCTCTTGCCCCCCCCCCCTCCCTGTGAGCCTAGTGTGCTCCGATTGGTCAGCTCGGCCACTCGTTCTGATTAGTCAACCACCAGAGAGGCTGCGCCCATGTCAGTGCTTTTCCCGGCTGCTCTCAGCGTAACATCAGTCTTATCATGGCGTCGGTACAGCGGTATATTTTATATACATATATATTTTTAACTGTTGTTATAGAAGAGTGTGACGGCCCCAGGGCCTTTGTCTTACGATGGGGTGGAGCTGAAGAGGCTAATCGGCACGATCACGGACACCTCCGGACACAGTCTCTCTCCAAAGCGGCTGCAGGAAGACTAACTCTGCGATCCTCTCAACCACCTGTCTCTGCATTTACCACAATAAATGTGCCGTGGTTTTGTAAACTCGTGTATGTCTCCTTGTCTTTCCGTTGTGGCCTACGAGCTACTCTCATAACAAAGAGTAAGTTATTTTTACCCGTTATAAACTACTACTGTTTGATGAGAAATCAAATCATGGTTTGCTATATATGAATTCAGGGAAGAAAGGATAGGCCTACTAAGTATTTCCATTAAACTTTATTTTTAGAAATGTACAAAATGAACATAAATATACATATATACACGGTATATCATCCATTCCTCCTCCTCGCATCTTGCCTGCGCACAGTCGGTGCGGTGCCTTTTAGCACCCTCAGTAGTAGTAGAATCCCTGCCCCGTCATGGATTGTCCGCCAGGATCTGGCTGGACGAAATCAAATGCAAATCATAAAATATTAGAGAAACTTAGTTGTTTTAGACTCGTTAGTAGTAGTTGTGTAATGAACAGCTTGCCTGCTAATATGCTAACCTAGCTTTGTTTACCTTGGTAGCTAACACGATATGAACGTTAGCTTGGAGGAAAGGCAACTATAATGCAGTGTAATCAAACTACTATGAACAAATGCTAGTGGTTCATATTAGGCTAGCAATAACGTGTTTATAATTGCAATCGTATACGGGTATTCTGCTACGTTCGGTGATACAATGTAACTTGCATGAATACATTGTTTTGCGCTAGCATACAGCTAGCCTCGTTAGCTACATGCAGTATATGTACGGTCACAATGTACGGTAAATCACAGTACAGTATACTGTATGAGTATTCCGTGTGTGTGACTGCAGACATTCTCCTGCCATGACAAACATGTAAGGCCATCTGCTGACATTGTAGTTGATATATTTAAACGCTAGCAACGTAGCATCACAAAAATGTTTTTCTGACCAAAACTAGCTCTAGCTCCGTGTGTTAGATCGCTACGCCAGCTATAATGTAATTACGTTTCGCGACTGACCGGCAAATCACCCGGAGTATACTGTCAATAGGTATTTTGTGTGTGAATGCAGACATTCTCCTGCTATGAGATACATGTATGCAAGGCCATCTGCTGATATTAGAGTTGATATATGGAAACTCTAGCAACTTAGTTAGCACAGTTAGCACTGTGTCAATGGCTTAGCAGTCCAACACAGTTTACACATTTAAACAGTCTTGTTTGATAAATACACAAATAACAATGCAAACTTACAGGTTGTATACCCAGATCTTCCCCTGCTCCAAACGGTCCAAACAAGCTGTGCATATCCGGCCTCAAACTGGGCAATGTTTTGGAAGCTTTCGTCTGTGAAATGCCGGTTCTTCGAACCTCTGGAGGAGGAACACGCCGCTGCTGGTGTGGCCATAGCTCTTCGGGATTGGTCCATTTCGTTCCGGGTACCGCATGACATCAGGCGGTACCCGGAACTAAATGGAAGACTCAAATGGGCAGTGACGTATCTCCAACGAGGCGTTTTGGGGAGGTATTTTCTGTGTTAGAGTTTTACTCGCTACAGGGTGTACTTTGAGGGTTTTGACTCTGCACACCGTTTACATGCATAAAAACCTTCATAACACACAAGGGGACGGGTAATAACCGGAAAAGCATGACATGGGAGCTTTAAGTGTAATTTGGCATGCTTTTATTTTGAAGGCGAGTTCACGCTGTTGACAGGAAGTTGTTGTTGCTATGGAAACAAGAAAAGTTTCACAGCGGGCGGAACCTGTCATCTAGTCCGCGATAATAAAACCCACCCATTTAGAGGGAAGATATGATTGGTCAATTGTACTGTCATTTGACATTACTCTCTCGTTCAGTTACTATAACGGGCCCTCTGTGAATCGCAGAGAGGGCCAGACGAGCTTCTTTCATGTAACTCTTCACATTCAACAGAGACTGAACAGGCAGATTCGAAGGATTTATTTTTTTGGAAATGTTATTTTAAATACAATTAAATCAAGTTTTTTTTTCGGTAAAACTAATGAAAAATATAACAAAAATAATATTAAAAAAATATATATTTAAAAAAAATATATTTTTTTTTAATGTTTTTAAATATTATTTTTTGGAATATCTTAGGCCCTCACAGAGGGCCTAGAGGGCCCTGACGGCTCGCCACTGCCTCCACCTCATACTGCTGGACCCTCTTCAGCTCCACCTCCACCTCATACTGCTGGACCCTCTTCAGCTCCACCTCAGAGAGCAGCTTTTTCATCTGTTTACTGAGCGTGTCCTCCAGCTGAGTCACAGCTCTCACCACAGTCCCCTCATATGAAGGTGGACGGACCCTGACTTCTGTCCAGTTCTTGGTGGGTGGAGCAGCGTTCAGGGACGTGAAGCTTTGGAGGAGGTGGAGCTGGTCTTCAGAGCGTGAGAGCTGCTCCACCTCAGAGCTTCTCTTCTTCAGCTCAGAGATTTCCTGTTCCAGCTCTTGGATGAAGCCTTCAGCCTGTTCCTCTGTCTCTCTCGGCTTCTCTTTGATCGTCTCGTTGTGCTCGGCCTGGCTTCTCTCAACAGACTCCTTCAGAGCGGTGAAGACCTGAACACCATCTGCTATCTCTCTGTCTGCTCCTTCCTTACTGAGCTCCACTGAGCGATTCATCTCCTGAATCTTCAGTCGTCTCTTCTGGATCATCTGCTGAATTTCAGCCTCTGTCTTCCCCAGCTCTGCCTTCTTTCCTTCATATCCTTCTTTCAGAGGAACAACGTCATGTGTCTTGTGGTCTAAAACACTGCAGAGCATGCAGACACACACCTGGTCGGTCTTACAGAACAGCTCCAGCAGTTTATCGTGCTTCACACACATCCTGCCTTCCAGGTTCTCCTCAGGATCAATCAGATTATGTCTTTTCAGACCTGGCCTTGTCAGGTGAGGCTCCAGGTGAGTCTCACAGTAGGACTCCAGACACACCAGGCAGGACTTCAGGGCCTTCAGTCTGGTTCCAGTGCAGGCGTCACAGGGAACTTCTCCTGGTGACTGTCTGAACTGAGCAGCCATCTCAGAGATGAAAGTGTTGACCCGCAGCTCAGGCTTTATGTTGAAAACTTCTTTGCCGTTTGACTGCAAATAAGTCAATAAAGGAGCATGGCTGCTCATTCCCTGGCTCTCAAAAGAGTTTGGCTGGCTGTTTAATCTATGTTCACACTGAGACAATACAACACATAGAGAGAACAGTACACCTAGTGTGTAAGTATACATACAAGCAGGTCGCACAGTATGCTCACAAATACATACAATCTGTTAACCTGTTCCACTCTGAGCCTGTTTTTCAGGTCTCAGGCTCGAAAATGACATTCCCAGAACAAATGACCATATCTTCCCTTCTAAAAGGGTTAAATTAATAATCTTTGTTCTCAAAGTAATGATAAACCTGTGAGTTGGATGTAGAAGTGTCAGAATCAATATAAATGTTTTTTATTTTAAAGAAAATTCAGATTTTACATAGTAAAAAACTGTAAATTATAGTGTCCGTCCAAAAATTATTTTTTACAGATAGTGAAAACTACCCTTGGATGATGGGTTAGTAGACTAAAAGCTTTAGGAATCCAAAGTACAACATATAATAAGTACCCTGTATCAAGATTGATGCAAAACAAGTGAAATTTGACCTTTTTAGAGAGATTTAGCCAAAAACTGGGCCATCTGGGGTCATTTGGGTGGATTTGACCTATCTCTGGCCCCCCTTGCTCGATTTGGTTGGTTGACATACCCTTGTGACCGTTAGAGCCAATAGAATCGAAGGGGGAGGCTCCCACCCAGACAGGTTGTAAAGAAAAAATGTGGTTGCTTCGCGTGTGGAAAACGAAACCAAAGTAGAGGAATGTCTCCTTCTGGAGTTTGGAAACTAAAACGCAGTTGTATTGCTTATGGATTATCAGAAATCATTTCAAAGAAGGCACAGACACATAGGATGAACCTATGGATTAACTGCAGCATCGTTTTTTTATCGTTTTAATGCCATTGAAGACCACTTTTGACCAAGGTAAGCCATATTTACTGTTTAGCTTCTTAGCTCCACATGTGATGATGTACGCTTTCGTTTAGAGCGTCGCGAATGTTTATCACTGAGTGTTGAGGAGGGCACCGTTAGATTCAGTGTCTCCAGGACACCAAAAAAAGAGTGTTTGGTTGTGCATCTAGGATAAGTAATAAGGGAGTTCTGAGTGAGTTTATGTGCCTTTGTAGGTTACGTTTTTTCGTCGAGGCTAATTCAGAGGCTGAGTGCTAGCATTGTGGGTTTTTTTTGAAAAAAAAAATTAAAAAGATCAGTTAGCTGAGTTTCTTCCCGTTACATGGATATAACACATTCATAGTTTTATTCAATATTAAGATTCCTTAGACGTTGTTTCCTGCAAATGACGTGTTTATCCGCCCGGTACCGGGGGGGAAGGTGTGAAACAGGTTAAACATCTGTTTTAATTAAAAAGTACAGGCTGCATATGTGTTCTCAGACTTGGAGAAACTTGACATGTTTTGGTATGTGTCTGAACCTCTCTTTAGTGGTTCATTAATAAAACAGATATTTCAACGTGTGCCTACTTTGTTCATGTACTGTTGAGGTTAATTTCAGTAGTTGTGTTCGATAATGTATTTACAAAGTGTGAAGAGGAGGCAACTTTAGAATAGGGAACCTGTTCAGGTCAATTAGAGTCAAACTACTAGCTTATTGATTATGAACAAGACTTCACTTTAAAGGTGGGGTAGGTAATTTTGGAGAAACCAGCTCGAGTGCGCTAGAAGCCGGAAGAAATCTGCCACTTCCTTACAGAGCCCCTCCTCCAACACACACGGACGTGCAGATAACCAATGAGGGCACGAGATAAGCTTGTGCACAGATGGAAGGCTGACAGGCAGGTAGGCCATCCAGTTATTTTAGCCGGGCCGGCTAAAATGATTGGTCGTGCTTTTTACAGTACTACGGCTTCCACAGATGACATTTTTTTATGGATTTTTTGTCAAAGCACTTAAGATATTCATTGCTATCGGGATGTTAAGAGCATTCCATGGAATATAACAAAAAGTGTATCTCGAGCCGGTTTCTCAAACTTACCTACCCCACCTTTAAAATAGGGAACATGTTCTTAGAAATAAATAATAAGCACTAATTAGAGGGTTATTGAGGAAAAACTCTCAACTAATGGCTTATTACTTGTAAAATATGGTCATGTAGAATAAGGCATTAATAAGTGTTTTATAATGACTAATAAAGAGCCAATATACTGCTAATATGCATGCTAATTAACAACTAGTTGATGGTGAATTTGTGTACCTTAATATAAAGTATTACCTAGTTTTATTTCAATCAAATGATGACTAAAACTTTCAATGAGGTGGCCCACAACACATACACATTGTAGTTGTCCTTGAACTTTTGGCTGCAATCTGCAGGTATTCAGCGCCTGGTTCACACAGCTTATCATGCAGTCCAGTTCTGGACTTTGCTGCCAGTAAAATAAACTTCGATGTGCAATTTAGCTGTGATATCTTTATGAGATCACCAACTCAGAAAAAAATGTGATGACATTGGTGATTTCCAATCCAACTAACATTTGTTTTCCAGGGAAGAAAGAGTTGGATCCTAATTCTTAAACTCACACAAGTTCATGGACAGTTTGCAGGAATCTCTCTTTTCATGCCCCATGGCGACCTCAGTTAGAAACTTCTCCTGTCTACGGCCCTGAAAAGTAATTTCTCTCAGAGTAGAGCTCAGGTTTTGAGTTCATACCGGTTATTAACATACAGTGACAATGATCAGTTGCACCATCTTACAAAGAAGGACATCAGTCCCTACAGAAACAGTGAAGTCAAGAAAAAACATTTGGGAATTCAAGGCCACTCAATAAATTGTGTAACCGCTGTTAAACTATAATTGTATGGTTTTACAGGAAATACAAGATCAAATCTGAAACTGTAGTGCAGAAAGTCCAAAGGGCAAGTCAGATAACTCTTATTCCTTATATATGTATGTGGTAAAACAAAGTCACTTATTAAAATGTTAGACCATCATAAGTTATTCTTTAACTACAGACAATAAAGGTCAGGTGAAAGTTTGTACATGTTAACCTAATATTAGCTGACGACGTTCTGTCTCATTTTAACTAACCAGAGTTTAGTAACTGTATTGTATTCCCAGCTAAATGTTCTTGTTATCCAAATGAATTCATTTCATGGCATAACATTTTTCTGAATAGTAAAACAGGTGTCAAAGATTCAGTTTTTAACTAAATGTTGACTGATATTTAGATGGTGTTCTTGTCTCTATAGGGCAGCGTACTCACAGGTTTCTGGAACATTCTGTGTCGTTGAGGATCCAGTTTCTTTAGAGAGAGACAGAGAGTCGTGTCTCACCTGCAGCTCTGCTCTCACCCACACAAACTTTACCTTTGATTGTAGGAAATGTGACGTCTCAACTTTCTGTGTGGCTCCACCTCTCAGTGTAGCTCTGGGATGGAGCTTTTACTGACTCGTTGCAACACACACACACACACACACACACAGTACACACACACACACACACACACACACACAACACACACACACACACACACACACACACAACACACACACACACACACACACACACACACACACACACACACACACACACACACACACACACACACACACACACACACACACACACACACACACACACACACACACACACACACACACCTGTAGTTTGTTATAAACCCCAGAGGGCTGGCATGAGTTTATTGGAGTGTGTATCTCTCTCTTAGTGTTTTTGTTGAGTATTTGTACTGATCAAATAGCTTAGATCGGAGGCCTGTACTACGAAGCCGGATTTTCCTAACCTGGATATGTTTGAGTTAGCCGGTTGGCCCAATCCAAAACATACGCGCTCTCGCTAAACTGTACTACGACGCTGGTTATCAAGTGGATCGCTCAAACCAGCCGTGTCCTATCTAGTTAGGTGCGCGTTCACATGAAAGGGGTGGTATTTGGAGCAACCTCAACATGGACAAGCGTACTGACAGCGCAGCGTCATACTTCCTGAACGAAAAGTGAACTTTAATATTAGTCAAATATGAATAAGTTAAACTTTAAACATCCATGACTTAAACACTTTATCCAGGATAAAAGCCACATAGCTGCACCTGCAAGGTGAATACAGCTGGTAAAAGAAAAAGCGTTTGAATGCGTACATTAACAGGTTTATGATATCACTGCCCCGTCCAAGACACGAGTGGATCTGACTTTAATTACATTTGACTCGAGTGTTTCGTCAACTTAATGTGTTGCTTAATATAATACTTCTGCATACAGTATGTGACACTGTGAGTCTTGCACGGTCAGATACGGCTCAAGAAGCTGACTCAAATAAGGAAATATATGATACATTATGATGTGATATGATGTGATATGAATGATAATGGGACACATCGACGTCTGCACTCACAGTGCCGCGGACTGTACTTAATGTTACTCTGATCCGGTTACTTATGTTGTGGCAGATATTTAAGTAAGCTTTCTTAATGCCAATGTTATAATAGTCAGATTGCTCTGCAGATGGGAGGGGATATTCTATTAATTTTCACGTTCACACAGTCAGTTGATTTTTGCCGGCCGTCTTTCCTGCAACGGCAGTTTTTCTGTATTCCCTCTATCCTGTAATATGACTTGATCGCTTTAAACTCCGCACACGGAGCTCTGATTGGTCAGCAGGCGGTGCTTTCACTGAGTTGATCTCTTAGCCTGCAACCTAACCTCCTCCCGAGGAGGTTAGCCGCTCAGCATAAGTTACCATGGAGATCTAGCCCGCTAAAAAGAGAACCAGCGTCGTA